CGGTGTTGGCAAGCAAGGGACGGCTTGAGGGTTGGGGCCAATTTACCAGGACAAACCGAGCCAGGAAGAAGCTTGCCCTACCTGAGAGCTGAGGAGCTTTCCTCAGTTCAGAAAGTCTAGATTACAAGACACAGCCCTCCTTCTGATGGCAAATATTTACATCTATATGTATATTTGATATCATTGCTCCCCTCACTCTGCCTTATTTCTCAGGCCCAAGGATCTGGGTCTCTGACGCCTTTTTAAACCCTGCAGGATTGTCCTGAAAATTCATGTGAGCTCTATGTGGGACCTGAGAGGGCTGAAATTCGGGGGCTTTGAATTCGCCACCAGTATGTGGAACCAACGGGACCCATGTGGTAGAAACAGAAAGAATCTTTACTGTTGTACTCATGTCCCTTTAAATTGAATTAGAGGGTGAAGTTTTTCTAACCCCAGTGAAAAATTGGGCAGTACCATGACTTTGGTCATCACACTTAGTTCCTAAAAGTCCCCTAATCACTTGAAGTCACAAAAGGATAGAGTTTCAATTTAGAAATAGAAAAGTTGATCCCCATGTGGATATCAAAACTCAACTTGATCTGACATTTAAATCTTACCCACCCCCTAAGCTGGCTAAGGGATGAGCCAGTTGCAAGAGCGAGAAATAGGGGTGCCAGGCAGTCTTCTTGGGCAAGATTAGAAATCCTCCAGTCAGCGCACTCTCATCTGGTCCATGGGGGGGGGGGGAATCCCACAAAATCAACTTTGAAAGTATAGATCCATCCCAAAGTAGTGGTAGTTTTTCTCTACTTCACCCCCAAAGCAGCTGCTGGCCTGCCTCTTGCCCCCCGATTTCCTGGGTGAGAGTCAGATCCCAATGCACAGCGCTTCTTTAACTGTGGTGACCTATCTCAGGCTTATGACAACTATATCATTGGTGACTTTGGCATCGCTCTTACTGGGTCTGAGAGACTAGCACCCACTATGCCCTCTCCCCTTCCTATCCAGGGTAGGTTGGCACCAGCAACCCTCAACAAAGAAGCATCTCCCTAACTGTCATCAATCCAATTTCTTTGTCCGCAGTGTAGGTGAGGCGCTCTCAAGAGTCATGACACCTTTTCACAATGCCTTTGTAAATCCTGCTATCGAAGATCCATGGGGTCCCTCTGCTCCCATGGGAACTTCTGGTTTGCTCTCCCGGCACATGCTGCTAGTGTTTGCCAATAGTGAGCAACATTTGTCTATTTCACACTTAACCCTGTTTAGTTTGGCCTCTACCAAGGTCAAGGTAGAGCTACCAGGGGACTTAAGCAGCCCGTCGACAGGCCTCGCATCCCAGGCTTTCCCCCACAACCTGGTCTCCCTGGTCAAGGTGTGACTGTGAGAGCCCCCGATGCTGTGGGGTGTGGGTTACCAGAGTCAGGACACTTCTTCTGCAAGGGACAAGAAAGTGAATATTTGAGAATCCGTGAGCCATGCAGTCTTGTCACAATGTCTCAGCTCCGTAGCGGTGCCAAAGCCACTTCAGACAGTTGGTGAACAATTGAGTGTGGCAGTGTTCCAGTGAACTCACAGGGCGGGCGTGGGCCGGATGCCCTGGCCCGCATCCCACCCACCCGGGATCAGGCCGGTGAGGAGAGAAAGGGAAGGGCGAGCCTGCCTGCCGGGGGGTTCACCCAGTGGCACGGGCGGAAGGGAGCCCCGCAGGTTCCTGGCCGCCCGCGGGCTAGCAAGGGGAAAACCTGCTTTGTTCAGGGGTGCATAGACTTTAACATTTTAGCCCTGGAATGTGAAGAAAACCCAGACATTCACGCTGGAATGGGATCATCTTTTGTAAAATAGCAGAGTATGATCGCTCATGACAAAGGAGAGGAGCGAGAAGTCCACAGCCAGGTGCGCCACGATCGCCTGCCGTTGCCAAGGTCACTATGGCTTTACCCACAGCGCTCTGTGTGATGCCCTTTTGGGCCTCCATGCCTTCCAACAAATGGACGCCCCTGCCCGGACACCACCCTCACTTCCACCCTTTGCTTCATAAAAAAAGTGGTTCACAAACCAGTTTGAATATGTGGCAGATGCTTTATCCCTCTAGCCTTCACTGAGTGTGCCCAGAGGGCTTCCAGCACCCGGCCTCCTGGGAGCTTGCCCTGCACTGGGAAGGCCTCTGTGCCAGGGCCGTGCGGGCCTGGGTGCTGGGGAGTTAACTCCCCCAGGAGCAGCCATCAGCCAGTGACCGGCTGGAGTGCAAAATAAATGCCCACCTCTCTTACCCTGGGGACAGGATACCCAGGTGTGAGTTACACTGTTCCTCGGAGTTTTCCAACAGTTTTGAGCTCCAGGCGCCCCCAGTGGAAGTCAGCTTGGTGACTTACCCTTTGCTGGCACCTTCCTTTTCCTGGTCTCCGTCCCTGCTCCCTACTGGAGTTTCCTGTACTTTCCAAATAAACCCTTTGCTCTCCTATCCTTGCCCAGGCACTGCTCTTGGGGGAACCCGACCTAAGCAGATTGTCACTTTCTCTGTGTCCTTTCTGAAATGTCTTCATTCTTCCTTCTGCAGCAGGGTCCCTGGGCACCTGTCACGTTTCATTAGGGTCATTTGAGTCAGATGGGTCTCTTCCACTGAATGATGAGTTTTCTAGAAATGGGTCTCACCTGACTTGGCATCCCTGGCATTTTCCCCGGTCTGTGGCCCAGTGTTCCAGGCACGTGTTTGCTGACTACGGGAAGGCTGGTTGCGTAGGGAGAGTAGAGGTGATGGGGCCCGTTTGAAGGGGGCTAGTGCTGCACCACTCATCCCATGTAGTAGCCACTAGCTTCATGTGGCTGTTAAAATGGAATAAAAATTGCCCTGGTCAGTGTGGCTCAGTTGGTTGGGTGCTCTCCTGCGCACCAAAAGGTTGCCGGTTCAATTCCCAGTCAGGGCATATGCCTGGGTTGCAGGCTTGATCCCCAGGACGGGGCATGCAGGAGGCAGCCAGTCGATGTTTCATTCTCACACCAATGTGTGTGTCTCTCTCCCTCTCCCTTCCTCTCGCTCTAAAAATCAAGAAAAATAAATAAATAAAATTGAATGAAAATTAAAATTTCGGTTCCTCAGTCACACTAGCCACATTTCAAGTGCTCACAGCTGCATATGCTGGTAGTAACCATACCGGATGGTGCAGATGTGCTGGCCAGGGAGCAAAATGGGTCACCCTGCGTTCATGGTTTGGTTGTGGGCAGTTTTGTACGGATCATAAAGCTCCTGAAAGCTTTCCGGGATCAGGGGAGCATAAACAAGCACCTCTATCCGGCACTGTGGTTACCTGCACAATGCAAGTCTCTCTCTCTCCCTCTTTCCCTCTCTCCCTCTCTCCCTCCCTCTTTCTCTGTTACATGTGATACACCCTCTTTCGGTCTTTGATTTTTTTCAGTCAACCATAGATGGCTCCTGGTGCTTTGACTTCACACTGTTTCTTGGCTAAATTCTTCTGCGGGGCTCCTGCCACCTCTCCCCGGCTGTTGACCTGTCATTGCCGTGTCTGCCACCTTACCTCCCATGTGGTTCTGGGGCCTCCACTCCATCTTCCGCGTGTGACCACATTCATCTCCCTAAGGCACCATTTTGATAGTTTGACTCCCCTGCTCGAAACCCTTCACTAGCTCCCCTTGCCTTCCCCACAAAGCCCAAGATGCTTTGCCGAAATTCACGGCCCTTCCCAGCGCACCCACCCCACCCTGCCATCTGCGCATGCTTGTGCTTTCCCCTCTCACCTTTGTGTTGGGCATGTCACTGGCTTAAGGTGCCTCCTCAGATTCTCTCCCTTCCCGATCCCGTTCCTCCTTCATAGACCTGCTCAAATGCCACTTCCTCCATGAAGTCTTCCTGGCTCAGATTCCCTCCTCCTGGGCCCGGCACAGTGTTCCTCTTTGCCCTGGAGTGACTTGTTTCTGTCTTACGCCCCCTACTCAGTGGAAGGTTTCGGGGAGGCAGGGATTGTGCATTGCGCGCCCTTCGCTTAACCGAAAGCAGGGTGTGCGCATCCTGTCTGCACCACCTCCACGCAGTTGTGCATGAACAGCGAGAGGCACGTTTAGGGGGACGGCGCCCCCACACTTCAGGGCCAAGCAGTGTCTCTGAGCAGGGCCCTCGGTCTCTACACTGAAAGTGCCGCATCGCTCCTCTCCCGCTGAGTCACTCATGGGAAATGCGGTCGTTCCGTGTGAAAATCAATTCAACATTAACAATAATTAGAGCAGGTATGCTTGAGGGTGCATATCCATAAGCTATAACAAAAGAGCCTTTTTATCAGGCAAGGAAAGAGCCAGGCACGTTAAGCGGTAATGTAATTTATTTATTGTCTTCTGTGAAATACATTTCATTTAAGTCAATAGCAGGCTGAAGTTCAGATTTAAAACCTACAAAGCTCTGCCTGTTCGTAGCTGCACATACTAACTCTGGCACCTGGGTTAAAACGCATGTAACTGCACAAGCAGAGCTCTGCTCTTCAGGGTGGGCAGTGAGTAAGCAGTTCAGCTGCTGACCTCTGTTAATGACTTTGGGGTGCACAGATACACCGCAACCATCATGTATATACTTGAATGTCTTCAAGAGCTTCTTCAGCATGGCGCTGGAAGTTCAAAGGGCTGGCGTAGAAATCGATATCCTTGGCTCAATGCATTCGCTTCACGTGCCCAGCACATTTTCTTTTTTAGATATTACAAATGTCCCTTTTTCTCTCCAATGACCCATTCCACCCCGTCCCATCCCCCTCTGCAGTCCCTCTCCCCACCATTGTCCGTGTCCTTGGGTTGTGCATACGTGCATATAAATTCTTTGGTTACTCTCTCCCCCTCCACGCATCTGCCCTCCTCCCTCCCACTGACATTCGTCAGTCTGAACCATGCTTCCATGTCACTGAGTCTATTCCGTTCATCTGTTTATTAAGTTCCTTAGATTCCACATATAAGCGACATCACGTGATGTTTGTCTCTCTCTGTCCGAGCGCGTTTTCATTAGGCAGTTTTCCGCATCTGACCTAAAACACAGCAGAGAGTTCCTGCTCCCCTGTCGACCGGGACCCGGAGCTGGATCGGTCCAGTTTCTCACCGGGAAGGAGCAGGTTGCACTTGCCCAGGCACATGACCACCTGCCTGCGGTAAAAGTGGCGCAGGTACCCCCGGAACTTCTCCCCGACGAAGGCGTAGATGATGGGGTTGACGCAGCAGTGCGTGTAGGAGATGACCTCCGTCACCTGCAGGGCCATGTCCAGCTGGTTGCTCCGCTCGCAGCTGGCTTCAAAGAAGACGTTTTGAAAAGTGGAGAGAAGGACCACCAGGTTGTAGGGGGCCCAGAAAAGGAAGAAGACCACCATGATGACAAAAATGAGCCGGATGGCCTTGTGCTTTTTCTTATTGGGGCACCTCACCAGCGTCTTGATGATCCCGGAGTAGCAGACAACCATGACCAGCAGAGGCAGGGCCAGACTCAGGATGTTCATCCTCAGGGCGTAAAAGCGCTTCCAGATGTCTTCTTCATCCTCCGGGTAAAGGGAGCTGCAGAACAAGCCCTCAGACTGCTCTTGGGCCTTATAGAAGAGGAATTCAGGGAGGGCTACGACCCCCGCCAGGGCCCACGTCAGGACACTGCTTATGATGCCAATAGTGATGGTCCGGGTGCGAAGGGCGAACACGGCGTGGACAATGGCCAGGTAGCGGTCTACGGTGAGCAGGACTATGAAGAAGATCTCCCCGTACAGGCCGATGCAGTAGAGCCCCGAGAGCAGCCTGCACATGCCGTGGCCAAAGGTCCACTCGCCCCGATGCAGGTAGTGGATCCAGAAGGGCAGGGTGCCCAGGAAGAGCAGGTCGCAGATGGCCAGGTTGAGCAGGTAGATGTTGGTGAGGGTGCAGAGGCGCCGGTATTTCGTGAGGATCACCACCACCATCACGTTGCCCAGCAGCCCGAGCACGAACACCAGGGCGTAGAGCGGGGGCAGCAGGTGCGTCCCCAGCTCCTGGACCTGGATCTTCATGCATGGCATTGTGAACTCATAGTCGAAAGCGGTGGTCCCTGCCTCGTTCTCGGGCCGGGCGATCAGGGTTGCCATTTTCCTAGTCCCTGCAATGGAAGAAGCAAACACAACCCCTCGATGAAGCGCGGCCACCGCCTCCGAGCCCTGGTGCGTCTGTCACCAAACAGAACCACGCGTGGTACACAGCCCCTCCCCCGAAAGGTTCTTGGGCACGTACATCGGCGCTGCCCCGGGGGAGGAGTCGCAAATGAACGAGAGAAGTTTTGAAAGTCAGCTCGACCCAGACGAGCAGAGAGACAGAAAGGCCGGGGCGGCGGTAGGGCAGGCGGTTGATTTCTGAAAGGACCTGACAGGCGGGCGAAACAGGAGCGCACAGGTTGGTGGTAACGATAATGCAATCACTGTTATTCCCGTGACTTCTCATGTATTTTGCATTTTATGTTTTACTGTTTATATGTGACATTCAAAATCACCTTACCTATTTAAAAATGAAATGCTTCTAATAATAATAATGATTATTATTACAAATAATTACCCCTCTCCCTGCCCCATCATAATGTGCCGTTCACCATAGCTAATGGGGAAATTGAACCTTGAAGAAATTTAGTAACTTAGCCCAAACTCTCTAACAAGTAAATACAAAAGTTCAGGCTAGCTCTGGTGGGCATGGCTCAGCTGGTTGAGTATCGTCCTGTGCACCGAAAAGTCACAGGTTCGATTCCCAGTCAGGGCACATACGCAGGTTGCAGGGTCTCCCCTATTGGGGTGGATACGGGAGGAAACCGATGGATGTTTCTCGCATCTCTCTCCCTCTCCTTCCCTCTCTCTCTCCTTCCTCTCTCTCTGAAAACCAGGGAAAGTGTGTCCTCGGGTAAGGATTTAAAAAAATTTTTAAATAAAATTCAAGCTAGATCTTCGGTATCTATGTCCAGTTCTCTCATCACTAGATTCAAATGCAGTGATTTTTAAGAGTAACTTTTGATGCCGTGGCTGTCAGAATTATTATAAACTATTATAACAATTACAATTTATAGGCAGTATTAACCTAGGTTAACGAACCCCTTTTCTGGTCCTAATAATACCGAGACAAGCCTGTCGTGTGCCAACAGCAAACCCCTTAGATTTCTCCTTCAGGAAAGGGCTAGGCCAATGGAGTTTCTTATCAGATTTGGTGTTTCTAAGGCCAGGAGCCCTTCGACCAGTGTCTGCTTTTCCTCTGGCTACAGGCTTCACTGAGGAAGAAAACCGGACAGGGAGGGAGCCCCAGGAAGGACAGCTAATCCCCGCACTGCTTCCTTGGGAGAAATCCCGCTGACTTACTCCTTTCTGGGAGAAAGATGGAGAAGGGCGTGAATATAAGTCAGTTGGTGTTTCTCAAGGCGAGCCCTAGGAATGCAATAGCTGGAGCCAATGGCCAGCACTTGTCTTTGCTCCCCAATAGACACCGAGCCCCCAGAGGCAGCCCTGTCAGGGTCTGTGCAGGCAGGAGGCATGGAGGCCCGCCCCAGCCGTTCCCCTCACCAGCTGTGGCACTGGGACAAGTCCTTACCTCTGAGCCTCGTTGGCTCAGCTCCGAAATAAGGATCATGATACCACTCGAGGCTGTGGTGGGGACCAGACGAGACAGTGCACACGAGACCCCTTTTGCAGCTAAAAACAGCTGTAACATCAGTTAGAAGCAGAAGTGAAAGAAAGGCAATGGGGAGCCATTTCATGTGAAACTAGGAAACGGGGGTCTCTCGATGGCACTGGGTCTGTTTCCACGGCTCTGTCCCAGTACCACAGTGACACACTCAGGCTTTTGGGGTAGAACACGGAGGAAGGGCTGATTGGAATGATCTTAGCAGCATTCTTCTTCCTAAGGGCATCATCCACAGCAGCTGAGAAACAAACATGCCCACTGTTTCACCTGTTATGCAGTTAACAGGTAAAACTCTCCCCTTGACTGTCAAAGCAAGAAAGGGGAGCGCTTCCTGCTCCAGGCAGCAAAGGCCTAGCAGCCTCTTCTCAGCATTGTCTGTATTTTCTTTCCTTCTCTCCCAGGCTGATCTAAAACCAAGTCAATTTTTTAAAATTTCCTGAAGTTTTGTTCAACTTGCCTTTAATTCACATGTCACTTCCATAAAACCAACGTGATCGGTGTGCTAACATTGGGGAGCCTTTGGGGGCGCTGGAGTGCAAGGAACAGGGGAGCATGGCTGCAGGTTCTCTAAAGTCATGAGTCAAGTCCAGGATTACTACAGAACTTACATGCGGTCAGAGATGTGAAAACTGACCCCTTCTAGCCAGATACGGTTTCCATCTGTCTACACAGTCCTGGTGAAAATGAATATTTAAATCTGAAATAGCTGAGAGGTTAGAATTAGGCTTTTAAAAATAGATTTTTACATTTTGGAAAAATGAGAGTAACAGTAAAGAAACAAACAACATCAACAATAAAGAGAAGCAAAAAACGCAAGTTAAAAAACACCCTAAATCTCACCATGTAGAGTTTACCACTAATGTGAACATTTCTCTCTGCTGATGTGTGTACATGGATATACACTTTACACCAAAAAGGAGATGATACTACTTTAGCTGGTTCACTAAAATTACGCAGAATACAGTTCCGCCGTGCAATGTAAATGAAGCCCCTTTAGTGTCCAAAACCATCTGGATCTCTGCTTCTGGCTTTGCACCTGCTGGGTGGCTGAAAACAGGATTCACAAAGTTGAGTCAGGGTGGTTTAACCTAAGCCTGGCAGCATCGAGGGAATGGGCAAAACCTAAAGCTGCTGCCGGCTTATAATTTTAGCTTGTCTTCTCTCATTGGTCCTTTCTAAAAGGGCAGTGGTGGCATGGGGGGGGGGCATAGTGGGACTGAGGCATGGGCAGAGTGGGAAGAGTGTGCCCTGGCCTCTTGTCCATCCTTGATTTATGTAGCTGGTGTCTGCTGAGGTGGGGCCACCTAGTCCTGACCCTGAGCCTTTTGCTGGCATGTGCTGCAATGGTTTGCAGCTAATGGCCTCATGATCCATGGATTCTTGGTCTTCCCTAGGCACTGTGACCTCTCCAAGGTGAAAGTGTTCCCTCTGCTCTGACTGCCACATCTCTGTCAGAGTTCTGGCTCAGGACCTGTCCACCTTTGAACAGGCAGGCGCCCAGGCTGACACACTGCTACTAGCTGCCAAGCACATGCCTTGTACAAACCAGAGACTCTCAAGAAGGCAAATTAGATTAAAAAAAATTTTTTTTTTAAATCTTCACCGGAGGATATTTTTTCCATTGCTTTTTACAAAATTTATCTTTATTGTTGAAAGTATTACAGATGTCCCCCTTCCCCCCCCTCATTGACCCCCTCTACCCTGCTCCTGCCCCTTTCCCAGGCTTTCACTGAATTATTGTCTGTGTCCATGGGTTTTGCATAAATGTATATAAGTTCTTTGTATATAAGTGAGAAGGTTAATCCCTTCTCACCCCCACCCCCTTCCCTCTGAAATATGATCGTCTGTTGCGTGCTTCAATGTTCCTGGGTCTATTTTGTTTGTCAGTTTATTTTGTGCATTAGCTTCTTCTTAAAGAAGACCCTTCAACATTTCCTGTAGTGCTGGTTTGGTGGTGATGAACTCCTTTAGCTTTTCTTGTCTGTGAAGCTCTTTACCTGACCTTCAATTCTAAATGATAGCTTTGCTTGGTAGAGATATCTGGGTTGTAGATACTTGCTTTCAATTGCTTTGACTATTTCTTACCACTCCCTTCTGGCCTGCAAAGTTTCTATTGAAAAATCAGCTGACAGTCCTATGGGCATTCCCTTGTAGGTAACTAATTGCTTTTCTCTTGCTGCTTTTAAGATTCTCTCTTTGTATTTAACGTTTGGCATTTAATTATGATGTGTCTCACTGTGGGCCTCTTTGGGCTGATCTTGTTTGGGGCTCTCTGCACTTCCTGGACTTGTAAGTCTATTTCGTTCACCAAGTAGGGGAAGTTTTCTGTCATTATTTTTCCAAATAGGTTTTCAATTTCTTGCTCCCTCTCTTCTCCTTCCAGTACCCCCATTATTCAAATGTTGGTACACTTGGAGTTGTCCCAGAGGCTCCTTACATTATCTTCATTTTTTTTTTTTTTTTTTTCAAATATGTCTTTATTGATTTCATAGAGAGAGGAAGGGTGAGGGGGAGGGAGAGAGATAGAAGCATCAATGATGAGAGAGTCATTGATTCGCTGCCTCCTGCATGTCCCCTACAGGGGGTCAAGCCAGCAACCCGGGCATGTGCCCTGACCAGGAATCGAACCTCAATCTCCTGGATCATAGGTTGATGCCCAACCACTGAGCCATGCCGGCTGGGCTATCTTCATATTTTTGGATTCTTTTTTCTTTTTGCTCTTCTGATTGAGTGTGTTTTGCTTCCTCATATTCCAAATCACTGATTTGATTCTTGGTGTCCTCTACTCTAGAGTTGATTCCCTGTAAATTATTCTTCATTTCACTTAGCATGTTTTTCATTCCTGACTGGTCCTTTTTTATGTTGTTGATGTTCTCACTAGTTTCCTTGACATTTTTCATCACATAAATGGTGTTTAAATTCATGACACCAGGTAGGAGCACCAGAGAAGTGAGTGTAGATAGTAGAGGATGGTGTCCTCAGGCATGCCAAAGATCAGAGGTCAGAGAAATAAGGGGGACGCAGCAAAAGAGACTGAGAAGGAGTGGATGGTGAGGTAGGAGAAAAACCAGGACAGCTGGTATCCCAGAAGTCAAACGAAGAAAGTGTTGCAAAGAGGAGCAACTTGAGGATTAAATGAACTAACAATGTGAGAACATCCACAGAGCCAGACAAATGTGCATTAGTTCTTCCCTTCCTCCCTCTACCCATTTACCTTCTTTATTTTTAAAATTTTTAGGCCTTTCCAAAATGCCTTAGATCTTGTTTAATATAATCTGAGTTTAGAGAAGGAAGTATCTCCTCAGCATAAAGAGAAATACTTATTTTTCCACAAATAACCTGTCTGTAGCCCATTACTCAAGTTATAGGAAAGCCACAATGATTGGTGTCCAATAATTTGTTTTTTTTTAAAAGTATTGTTATTGACTTTCAG